TCTGCATACCTGCCAACTTTTACGCATTTGGCGTAAAATTTTATTTTCATATTTAAAGTGGTAGTAAATATATACTATTTTTTCTTTTATAAACTTATATTTTAAATGATTTTGATCACTACTATTCTTAAAAAAATTAAGTAAATATATTAATATGTGTTACCATCATGGTTGAAGACTAAGGCCTTTTCAAAAACGATGTATTTTTCTGCTTAAAATTGAAATTTTAATTCCATTTTAATACCACTGTGAAAAATCATAATGGAAGGTACTAAAAGTTGGCAGGTATGGAGATAGCAATTTTATTCCTTACTATACAAAATTGATTTGACATTTGTCGATTTTTTTCACTAAATTCTAATAAATTACCCAGCATCTAAATCATTGAGTTATACCCTTTTTTTAAAAAAAAACTAAATAACTGCCTAATGTCCCTCATCCGTATATATAAAAGGCAAAGAACGCACTATTTCTGCCATTTCCCAGAAGAGAGGTAAAACTTTGAAATGCGTGTTCTTTATGACGTATGCAATATATCGAAATACTATATAAGTCCCATTTTGATATAATTAACCTAATTGTTAGTAATGCTAAATAACAAGTTTTAACCTAAATAGAAGTTTAAAATTTCAGTTATGAAATCTTTTATCTGGTAAATTGCACTAATTGTTGGTAATATTCATCAACATAGGATCCTCAAATTTGAATCTTGTTCTTCGAATAGAAAAACTATAAAAAAAAAAAAAAATTCTTAATATTTTAATTTATCTAAAAACTTTGCAATAATTAGCTTAATTGACTGTAAAGCTTACTAACACGTTTTTATCAAAACGGAGGAGTCAAATTTGGACCAACTTTACTAATCTTTTGTAGCTGAATTGCATACTTATGCTCAATTAAATACTTATCTATTTTTTACTTTCTTTTAAGGACATAGGAGTTAGTTTGAAAACAAACTTTTGTGTTAAGTGATATCATGAAAAAAACCATCATTTCTCAGTCTTAATGTTTTTTCTCGACAAATCTGTTCACTAAGTAACAGTAGTTAGAGTATTTTTCAGTTTAAATGAACTTGAACCTTTAAAAGAATTTCATGCAAATATATTACTAAGTTGACTGATTGCACCCCCAAAAATACCCATATATTAAAAGAATTCTGGATTTTCAACCCACCATTTAGCAGAAACATCGAACGCACAGGGCAAATGTTATGCGGATAGCCTGCCTTGTTTTCAAATTAATTATAGCAAATTAAATTGCTTAGAATCTTTATTTCAAATGCTTGCAAAATCTCCAAATATATTCGTACATAACACTGACTATCACACAAAACCAGCTGGGCGCAAGATAACCTATATATTCATTCAACAGTTACAGCTCTATATGGAGATTTTTATTATTTAATTTGCTTACCCTGCAACATCACAGATATTAATCTAAATAAATGTCCAGGAAAATCTTAATAAATTCAAAAAAAAATAGTCGATCTTACCTAAATTTTTAAAAATGAATGAACTTTTTTTTTTTTACCTCTTAAATTTTACAAAATAGCAATGAAGGTAAAATAAAAAAAATTTTGTTGCACTTTTTGATTGACAGTTAAATAGTACACCGTAGCCTGATTTTAATAGAGTATCAAGTATGCAATTAACGTTAAAAAACTTTTTGAAAAGAATCAGTTGACACTGCAACATTTTAAAAACCAAGAAAAGTGCTGACCAACATTACACCTTTCAACAAGTAATGGCACCTTTTACTAAGAAGCCTCAGATTCTATATTCAACGAATCATGTCACATTCAAAAAAACATTTTAGAAAAATTTAACCAGTTGATAATAATCCTAACAAAGCAAATTACATTCATAAACAGAATCAAACCCAACAATAGAGATAATTTAATTATTATTCAACCATGAACAATCTTTTCTCAAATTGGAATCTGAATAAAAAGGCAAGGATGGTGTCTTACTTTTACAAAAAGAGTATAAGGGCTGGTATCTTTTAGATAATGAGTTCGCATTTAGTGGGGTCGTAGGGTACTCGAAAATTGCTTAGGGAGAACGCTAACAATTAACTTAATAAAAAGAGATCACTAGTCACACTCTGGTATCTCATCTGCAACCGATATAAATTAAAGATATGGCAAAATACATAAAAAATAAAATCTACATTAGATCATAAACCCTTAAAGATTATACTTCCCAGATCGATAGTTTAAAATAGGGGGAAGAGGATTTAGCATGGAGAAACCAAAGAACCAACCAAAACTTGTTCAATTTTTTTTTTATTAACTTTCATTACATATTAAGATCTAGGTCTTTCTTTCTTTCCCTTATACAAAGCTAGCAATGAAACATTTGCAACTTTAACAACCTTGAACCTGACACCTGGAATATCACCTACAGCGTGACCAGCTCGACCGAAACCAGAGATCAACACTTCATCGTTTTCCTGGGAGAGAAAAGAAAGCATTAGTAACGAAAATATTTTTTTTAATTAAATGCAGACAAGTTTTAAAGCAATGAAGTGCACCATTAAATTCGGGAGGTATGTGATCCATTTACCCCCGTATTCACCGTTGACTCTGACCAATACCTCCTAGAGGAATAAAGCCTCACAACGGGTTACTATAGGCGATGATGACGTAGTAGAGTTAGGCCCAGAGGAAAACCAGTCAGGGTAGCTATTTTTTCGAAAAAATCCGAATCTGATCAAACGAGCCATTGGCGATATTCTGAAGTATTGTAACCTGTGTACGCATTCAGCCAATTGGCGAATATTTTTGATTAGAATTTGTAAACAACCGACGGTGTTCTGATGTACGCGTTCTTCGTAAAATTTATATTTATTCTACAAATGTTATAAACAGCATTAATTTAATTCTTAGTGTTATGAATAATGGTATTTAAATGCTGTGTACCAAACTGTAGAGGAAATTACAAAGTTGATGGTACAAAAGTATCTGTTTTCGGATTTCCCAAAGATGAAGAATTACGTAAGAAATGGCTTGCCGCCATACCAAGAGATTTTGAAGTTACAAAGAATTCTAAAGTGAGTAATATTTGTTTTTATTTTTAAAAATGTAATTATGATTCTTTATTATATTTTTACTTAGAGTAAATTATTTTAAATTGTGGATAAATTAATCGTAATAATTAAGTTGTTCTTATCAATCATATCGAAACTATTGTAATAAATTTTGTGTATAATGACAAAATAACTATATAGCTATTTTTATATATATATATAGTTATTTTTATAGAGTTTTATTTTATAAAAATATTAATAATTTTAGTATTTTATTAAATTTTTGCTCAAACTTTAAACATTTTTGTTTGACCATAATATATTGTAACTTATTTGATTATGAAATTTAAATCTATTAATTTTTCTACAAAAATCTATTAATTTTTCATACATGAATATAGTATGTACTATTTATTTTAAATGCACATTTAAATATTGTATTCATTTTGTTATAGGTATGTGAGATGCATTTCAAGGAAAATGACATTAGAAAAGAGATATTAAATGACATTAGAATTATTTTTAAATGCTACTGAAAGTTAAACATATATCAGTAAAATTTATGTTTACATTTTATTTATCATTTTTTGAATTTGCTATTTAATAAAATATTTATTATCTAAGGTTGCTTACTTTATTTTAGTTTATCAGTGTGACGGGTAAAAATTATA